AGGAACCGATGAGGTAATAAGGTTGCTTCCAAGAGCATTTGAATAAATGGATATTTCTGGGGATTTGGCGGGGGGGGGGGGGGGTGCTATTTGTTTGTTTCTTTAAATAATGTGAGCATAAGATTGCTAGGAGGCACAAAACTGGTTATTGTCCTACAGGGCAATAAATCTATAACCTTTGGGGTTATTTTTTCTACTAAACAAATTTGCATGTTTACATGTAATGTCTGGGTGCCAGTCATATTGTAAATAGCAAAATCAAGAACAAATACATTCTTCCAGAGAATTAAATAATCCTTGGGGAAGCCCATGTAACAGTGTCCCAGCATGATATTAAAAAATTATGCTATGCTGTCTGTGCCTTATTTTCAAATAATGGATAATTTTTCTTAACATATCTACCCATTTATTTATTCAGTAAACCTTTATTAATATCTATGTGCTACAGGGATATAGAAGTAAAGACACAATCCGTGTCCTTACGGAATTCATAACCCAACGGGGGGAGACAGCACTCAAAATAAAAATTACAATATGAAGTGACAGACATATCATTTTATATATATACACAAGGTCCCATCATTACAGAGGTCGTTCACTCCCTAGCTCTATACCATGTCAGCTCATCCACCATTATCCCCACCTGTATATTAAAACACATCTCTTAGAGCCCAACAGATGAATAATTCCTGTCTTAGATAATACACAGATAAAGATATATATTAATAGGGGCCCTCAATCTCAACTGAATCGGGTATGTCATGTGGTGGTCTCAGGGCTGGTTGGGAAGAGACAGGATGAGCTGGAAAGAGGTGAAGAAGGCTTTCCTTGCTGCTAAAACTACTGAATATGGATGACCCAGACACAACAACTAATTATGTAGCCCCTGTATTTCAGAAATACTCCCTTAAAGATATATTTATTTCCAAATTAATGGAGCAGGGGTGAGCTTTCTTAACATTTACTTTAGGGTTCTAGAATTTGGTTATAATATGGCAGACCATGTTTTCTGCGAATGGGTACAGGAGGCTGTCTGAGGTCGTCTAAACTGCCTCTGCTTGCCCTTAAACGAGAGCTGACCTGGGTGACTTGTTTCACCTGCCCTGCTCTCTTCAGGAGCCATGTTGCCCTGTCACCATGGCCACCAGCGTTCCAGCTCAGGGAGAACACACAGGGATTCTGTATCTCTGCTTGTAAGTCTCCTAGCAGAGCCACCTAGAGTAGGAGGCCTGTATTTCAGCTCTCTGTCTTTATGGAGTCAATTCATTCAATAGCTAATAAGCGATTATTAATGTAAAGAACTTCAGTGGAAGCTGTGGAGCATGAACAAAGAATAACGCCCTTTTCCCAGGACCCCATAGTAAATGGGAGAAGACAGAAATGTGGAAGCAATTCTAAAGCAGTGATTGTTAATCCAGGCTGCACATTGGGATCACCTGGGGAGCTCTTGAAACCTCATGATGCCCAGGCTGCACCCCAGAGCAGTTAAATCCAAATCCCTAGGGAAGGACCCTGGCATCAGCATTTTGTAAAGCTCCCTGGGAACATCCAGCTTGGCTCTAAAGCAAAACAAACCAGGAAAAGGAGTAACAAAATGCCCTATGAAAGAGGGATCCACAGCCATTCTGCTGCATATGTTAACATTCTCATCCACCAGGTGACTACATTTCAGCTCATGAATGTGGAAAATGTAACCTCTCATTGTAACCACAGGAAAAATGTAAGTCAGTTTGATTGTAGGGCATTTAGAGACTGTATGGTCTGGGCAATATGGTCTGCAGAAAACTACACCTCTAAGAGTCTCTTGGACTACAAAGAGATCCAACCAGTCCATCCTAAAGGAGATCAGTCCTGGGTGTTCATTGGAAGGACTGATGTTGAAGCTGAAACTCCAGTACTTTGGCCACCTGATGCGAAGAGCTGACTCATGGGAAAAGACCCTGATGCTGGGAAATATTGAGGGCAGGAGGAGAAGGGGACAACAGAGGATGAGATGGTTGGATGGCATCACCGACTCAATGGGCATGAGTTTGGGGAAGCTCTGTGAGTTAGTGATGGACAGGGAGGCCTGGCGTGCTGCAGTTCATGGGATCACAAAGAGTCAGACACAACTGACCAACTGAACTGAACTGAACTGAAGGGGAAAAGGCCCCCAAAGGTCAACCCGAGAAGGATGACCTCCAAGTTATTCCACATGCTCTCTCTCCCTTGGAATGTTTGGGACTTTTTTGTTGTTGTTGTTCTTTTTTAAACCCTTGTCTTCCTGAAGAAGGGACCTTTATCCTCCAGGTCCCTGGCTCACACCTTGGTCTCCTTTGTGAAGTCTTCCCTTTTCTTCCCTTTTCCAAGCAAAGTTGGGTCCCTGTTTTTCTCTGGCACTTAGCTTCTTATCTGTCAATTATAATTATTATAAAATTTAGTTATAATATGGCAGACAGCTTGTTTATACATTTACCCTTTTACTGGCCTTACTTTTCATTGGTTTTCCTAGCACCTAGCATAGTTTCTTGGTGTACTGAATGAGTAAACAGAGATGCAGCACTTTTAGGTCCAGTCAGAAAAGCCATGCCATCAATCAGGTGAGACCTAGACTCAACAACTCTTCAGGCTGTCTTGTCCCATTTCTTTTTCTTATTTGGCCACACCCCACAGCATGTGGGATGTTAGTTCCCTGATGAGGGATCAAACATGCCTCCCCTGCAGTGGAAGTGTGGAGTCTTAACCACTGGATCACAAGGGAAGTCCCCTTGTCCCGTTTCCAGGAGGGTATGTGTGTGCGGGGTGGGGAGGGTCGGACACACTCGTTATGAAGCTGCAGGAGGAAGGGACAGAAGAAGGCCCCCATAGCACATCAGTGGTGGTGGTGGTGGTGATTTTGAGTTTCATTTGCAGAGTTTTGCTGTGAGAGGAAGAAAGAAGCAGAAGGAAGTTCAGAGGCTTCAAAGTGTGTGTGGAGCTATGGAAAATGCCCGTGCCACCAGCTCCTGTTTTATTTAGGCCACAGGCATTCCCCCACAAATTTAGAACAGCTCTCTCTTCTCTGGGAATGTTGCTTGTCTCTTGTATTTTTAAGCTTTCAGTTCAGTTTAATCGCTAAGTCGTGTCCGACTCTTTGCAACCCCATAGACTGCAGCACTCCAGGCTTCCCTGTCCATCACCAGCTCCCGGAGTTTACTCAACTCATGCCCATCGAGTCGATGATGCCATCCAACCATCTCATCCTCTGTCATCCCCTTCTCCTCCTGCCTTCAATCTTTCCCAGCATCAGGGTCTTTTCCAAAGAGTCAGTTCTTCGTATCAGGTGGCCAAAGTATTGGAGTTTCAGCTTCAGCATCAGTCCTTTTAAACTTTAAATCTTTAAAAAAAAAATTTAGGTTTTTTTTATTTTTTCAATGTTGTAGGTTTTACACACATAAAGGTGGAAAGATGATTTTGATTTTGTAAGGATGACACACATGCATTACAGATTTTCAAGGACAGCGCTAATTTTAGAGCTTGTGTCCTGTTTTCAGACTGTGTCCTAATTTTTTATATGGGAAGTATGGTTGCTAGTCTTACAACTTACTATCAACCAGCCAGGCATGCTTAAAGGTCTTTTAGTTATTAAAATGGCTAATTACCTTATGTTTCGCTTTAAGAAATTTAGTAGGGCTGCTTCATGGACAAAAAAGCCTTGAAGGGAACATGAACCTGGCCATTTGTACATCACCCTGAGCGCCAGACTTTTGTCGAATGGGGTTTCTTGGTGAGGACACCAATATATATTAACATCCTCTCCCTAGCACAAATCACTGCAAATATCCTTCAAGGAAAAATGGGTCATTAGGAACTGTCCTTTGACCCCACAGAACATTTCTTTCTGAAGTATAGTGACAGCTGCCCCCAAGAAGGGCAAGAGGCAGAGCCTGTTGCTGGGGCGCCCTCCCCTGTGTCCCGGCCCTGGTTATTATGGATTTCAGTTGCTGTGCTTTCTCTTTCTGCTTACTAGATTCAGACCAAATTAAAACTTAAAGATCTGACTGCAGCCAAAGTCACCTCAATTTTAATTGAATGGCTCACAATGATACAGTGTTTTTCCCTGTTAAAAAGTGTAACTTTATTCCCCTAACTGAATAGTAGTAAGAAAAAGTTAAAATAAAGTCTGGGTAAAGTTAGAGTTGATTGCTTATAACCATCTGGATGCCATAAGGTTTCTAGCAACCTGGTTTTACATTCATTAGGAGACATCTTGTACATTCCCAGTCAGTGTCATTTTATGAAACAGTAACAACAGTAGCATCAAATATGTCATCTATAGGTAGCACATCATCTTTTGGGGAAAAATAGGCTGTGTTTTTGTGTCATTAAATGAGGAGCTACTTCTGGCTCACGTGAAAGTGTTATGTTTGCTCCATGTGCTTCCACGATGCTTCTGTAATGGGAATTCTGCAGTAAGTGAGGACAAGGTCCTTCCCAGTAGCCAGCCAGTCTGCATTCAGATTCCTGTTAGCTATTTCCATAGCTGACGCCTGTGTTTCCATCTGCCCAAGTTTTCCTCCCTTGCAGCCTCACTTCTTTAGTGTTAGGACATTCAGGAACTTCTCATATGCTTCCCAGAATTCCAGCAGTTCTTCATTTGGGGGTAAACCCTAAAAGTGAGCCAGATCTGAGATCCCTACCCCTCTGCGATCCCCAGCACATGAAGGGAACAGGGTCAGTGAGGACTGGGGCTTGCTGTGTGTTCCACCACATTTGACAAAGTTCAGGAGAGAGGGGAAGCCAGGAAGACCCTGAGCTGGGCTCAGCTGAAACAGCCTTAAAATGAAAGAGAAACAGGGCCAGAGCTTTTTCTGGGTAGTAGTCATGTTTTCCTACCAACGCACAAGTCCTCCTTGACAAATGACAATTGACCTAAGCATCCTAAATCACTGTTAGCCTTAGGAATCAATCCTTGTAACACCGTTTTAACAGGAGGCCTCATTCTTCTTTTCTTATCCAGAACTAAGAGGGGAAAAATGAATATGGTTTTTGCTCACAGAATGGATAACAGCAAGTCACCTTTGGTTGTTCCTACACTGCTGGTGCCTCTTCACAACCACAGCTGCGCAGAGACGGCCGCCCCTCTGCCGAGCCAAGACCTGACGGAGCTCTCCCCAGAGCACAGCTGGAGGAGCAACAGAACAGATCCACAGTATGGACCGAACCCTGGGGAAGTGGCCACAGCCAGCATCTTCTTCGGGGCCCTGTGGTTGTTTTCTATCTTTGGCAATTCCCTCGTGTGTCTCGTCATCCACCGCAGCAGGAGGACTCAGTCCACCACCAATTACTTTGTGGTCTCCCTGGCATGTGCTGACCTTCTGGTCAGCGTGGCCAGCATGCCTTTTGTCCTGCTGCAGTTCTCCACTGGCCGCTGGACCCTGGGCAGCGCCATGTGCAGGGCCGTGCGCTACTTTCAGTATCTCACCCCGGGTGTCCAGATCTACGTGCTCCTGTCCATCTGCATAGACCGGTTCTACACCATCGTCTACCCGCTGAGCTTCAAGGTGTCCAGAGAGAAAGCCAAGAAGATGATCGCTGCATCCTGGATCTTCGAGGCAACCTTTGTGACCCCTGTGTTGTTCTTCTACGGCTCCAGCTGGGACAACCACTGCAACTATTTCCTTCCCTCCTCTTGGGAAGGAACCGCCTATACTGTCATCCATTTCTTGGTGAGCTTTGTGATCCCGTGCATCCTCATAATCTTATTTTACCAGAAGGTCATAAAATACATTTGGAGAATCGGCACTGATGGCCGGACAGTGAGGCGGACCATGAACATTGTCCCAAGGACAAAAGTGAAAACAATCAAGATGTTCCTCATTTTAAATTTGCTATTTTTGCTCTCCTGGCTGCCTTTTCATGTCGCTCAGCTGTGGCACCCCCATGAACGAGACTATAAGAAAAGTTCCCTTGTGTTTACTGCTATCACGTGGATATCCTTTAGTTCCTCAGCCTCTAAACCTACTCTGTATTCCATTTATAATGCCAATTTTAGGAGAGGCATGAAAGAGACTTTCTGCATGTCCTCGATGAAGTGTTACCGAAGCAATGCCTATACTATCACAACCAGTTCAAGGATGGCCAAAAAAAACTATGTCGGCATCTCAGAAATCCCTCCATCGGCCAAAACTATAACCAAAGACTCAATCTATGATTCGTTTGACAGGGAAGCCAAGGAAAAAAAGCTTGCTTGGCCCATTAATTCAAATCCGCCAAATACTTTTGTCTGATTTCTCAGAATTCTTTCAATTATTATTATGCACCAGAGGTTAAAAGTTTAACTATAAATACAAGCTATTTATGTATTTTTTCAATCAATTTTCTGACGGAAATGTTTTATTATGTAGAATGCACTATCGATTTTAGTTTTTGTCTTTTTTAATTTAGCTGCTTTTTTTGTTTTACAGGTAGCTTTTCACCTTGAGCTTATTTATGGTCAACAGTCCCTTTACTATTTTAGTTATGTGCATTAAAAAAAAAAAGAATGCTTTCTGACTTTTTATTTACTATTAGGTCCAAAAAGCATAAACAGTCTTTGATTGATGATTCAACCTGATTTTATTCTGTTTCCTTTTTCTCCCCTACTGAATTTTTATTAACTATAGGCTTCTGTTCCAAATCAAAGCTCTTGTGTGACACATTTCAGAGACTTGTATTTCTTCTACTGAGCAACATTTAGGAAGTGTTAATATTTTATATGTTTTTACATTACCTTCTGTCCAGATCTGTTATGGGGAGCACTCCATATGTTAGAATATACTAGAACTTGCCCGGGTAGCCTTCTGTGATTGAATTTTAATGAAGATGCTTAGGGAAAGAAAGCTTATTGGTTGGCCTAATTTCTGTCTCTTTCTGTCTCTCATTCTCATTCTCTCTTGAAACCAGCTGATGATGCCTTGCAGCGTTTGAAGTTGCCCTGCCGTTTTCCTCACATCCAGGCCCATCTAGGCTGTGTCTAGGATGCTTACCTCCCTTCTGAGTCAAATTCAAGCAATGCGCAGGGAACCTGGCTGGGCAAGCCCAGAAAATGCCAATGGGAGTCATGCAGATGCCTTTTCTCTGTGCTCTGCCACTCAGGCAGACACCTTCCGCTGCCTGGCGCTGCCCCCAGACTCTGGGACAGCAAGGGCAAGGAGCAGGTTCTTCTTTCTCCTGAGCATGTAGACATGAGGCCGTTTCTCCAACCAGTGCTTCCTGCCCCTCATCTCTCTCTCAGGACCCATGATCATACCCTCGCCAAGCTCACACTCCTCTTTGGCCAAGGTAACTCAAGATTTTCTTCTGGTTGCCGGGTCTCCATTATTTCAAATCCAGGACGAGCACATTTAAAAAATGCTTTGTTTAAACAATAACAGGTTTACAGACAAGATTGGTGTGCATTTTCACACCCTAGTGAACAAGAATTGCAAATAATAATATCAGTAGTTCAGCAACATTACCTGCATTGTCTCATGCTATCCTCTTAAAAAAGCCTGTGATGTTCTTATGACCATCTCTGTTTTATAGGTGAGGAAACCGGACCTCAGCGTTATGGGACTTGCTTAAGTCAGAGTGTGGCTGAACTGGTTTTCACACTCAATCCCCTAGCTGCAGGTCTGTGGCCCTTTCCTTGACATGACAGGTGTCTCTCGAGGGAACACTTGGGCAGTCAAGCCCGTCCAGACCTCTGTGGGCCTAACAGCTGCTGCCTGGGTGAGAATCTGAGGTCTAGGAGAGCATGATGTTCTTAACAGGAGAGCCGAGAAATGTGGTGAGCTGGCCCCCACCTTTTCCTTGGCTGTGGCTGGGTTCCTGGGCTCATGGTGCTGAACATCTGAGACTGGAAACAAACTGGTATTTCCTGTCTCACAGACACAGGGAAACAAGACATAACTGGGCTTGGTTTTGGGGGGCAAAGAATGAGAACAATAAAATATTCTATCCACAAAACATTATAGAGCTGATGTGTTCAAGTGGAGGTGCTGCCTTCAATCAACCAGGTCAAAAGATAAAAAGAATACCTTGTATTTTTTCTTCCTTTTCTTTCTCCTCCACATATGATACTCAAAAATGACAAAGTGAGTCAGAGCTTGATGTCACTTGGCCCTTGACTTTTTCGATTCATAGTTGTTAAAAAATAGAAGAGACCCTGCAGTACTTTTATTTATTTTTAAAAGTTAAATTCTAAAAAAATAAAATTTGATTTACTTTTATTTATGTTTATATTTTTGGTCTCAGTTAAACTGAAAACGACTAGATGATTACTAAACTCTGTTCTGTCTTTAATGTTCTGTGAGTTACCCCAGTGGGTGGAAATTCAGTGAAAGGATCTAATGCAAAGTCTTATTGAGATTAGTTTTTTAGAAAAAAATTCCCCCAAATAATAACAAATAGAGTTAATCAAATCACAAAAGCAAGAGCTCTAAAGTCTCAAGACCTATGATAATTCAGCTATATTTTCTCAGCATGTTGTTAATTCACTGTACTTTTTTAGTTTAGTTTAATATTTAGGATTCCTGTTGTCTCACTTGATCCTGAATTTGGAGGAAACTGGATGTAATGTACAGATTAATGAGGATTTTCATAAATCCCAGCAACACAAGAGCTTCCCAAATGGCACAAGTGGTAAAGAACTCACCTGCCAGTGCAGACTTAAGAGATGAGGTTCGATCCCTGGGTTGGGAAGTTTCCCCTGGAGGAGGGCATGGCATCCCACTCCAGTATTCTTGCCTGGAGAATCCCCATGGACAGAGGAACCTGGAGGGCTACAGTCCATAGTCGCACAGAGTGGGACACAAATGAAGCAACTTAGCATGCATGCACTCAGCAATACAAGAACAACATTCACCATAACTCATTTACCTGCCAAGCACCAGAGTTTAAGTCGCAGGGAGGCAGGCTATTGTGGGGAATAAGAAAACAACTTCAGTCTCCTTACCAGGCACATGATGAGGTGCATCATGAATATGGACTCATATGGCCTTGAAACGGGAATTCAAAAAAGCTAATGATGGGGAGCAAGGTTCCGAGGAGAGCAATTCCCTGGAGCCAATTCCAGGTGCCTGTAAACTGTCAGAGGAAGCGGCAGGGCTGCAGCCTTCGAAGTAGGATTCAGGCTTCTCCTTCTCATCTTCAGTGAAAGCAGCAGACCCACCAGCCTGCTGCTCCGAGTCCATCAGCTTTCCCGTGGACCTTCCCTCACAGGTTTCCCCAGGGTGCCTGGAGCCAGGGCTGGAGCTCTGGGCCACTGCTCTCAGCAAGGACAATTTTACCCACTGGGCCTCCACCAAGCACGTGGGGAGCAGAGTCAGTTGCCAGATAAGGCCAGCACTTCTGCCTCTCCTGTGGGCACAGTGCCTCCCTTCACCCTCCAGCCTTGCTGCCACCTGCCAAACGCGCTTTGAAGCAACAGAAGCAAGATCTGTTAGAGCTTCTGGACCAGAGTCAGCTTCCAGGTTATGCTCCTCTACAAAAACCACACATGAAAAAAGCAAAGAATTAGACTTGTAGAGTAGAAGGAATGGGACGTTGGGAGACCTAACCCAAATCCCCATTGTTTAGAAGAGAAGATTAAGTCCAAAAGAGGTCAAATTAGGGGGAAACTACAATGCCTTCTGCCAACCAGTCCAACATTCTTTACATTCACCATCCTGCTGGCTGTGGCATGATGTGTTCACTGGAGAAAAAAGTCTTCACTGTGTTGGGAAGAATATGAAGAGAATAAACAATTGCCCACTGTTCAGTGAACCTGCTGATTCTCTGGAACAGAGATGACCTTTGTGTGCTAAGTTGCTTTAGTCGTGTCTGACTCTGCGACCCTATGGACTGTAGCCTGCCAGGCTCCTCTGTCTGTGGGGTTCTCCAGGCAAGAATACTGGAGTGGGTTGCCATGCACTCCTCCTGGGGATCTCCCCAACCCAGGGATCAAACCCTCATCTCTTAACGTTTCCTGCATTGGCAGGTGGGTTCTTTACCACTTGGTCCAACCTTAGAGAGCTGTGATTCAGTTCAGTTCAGTTGCTCAGTTGTGTCTGACTCTTTGCGACCCCATGGACTGCAGCACGCTAGGCTTCGCTATCCATCACCAACTCCCGGAGCCTACTCAAACTAATGTCCATCGCTTAGAGCCGTGGAAAACTTGGTCCCACCGTTTTGCAGATTGACCACTTGGTGGCACTGTGGCCAGTGGGCAGAGCCCAGCAGCTCTTCACAGGACCCGTCACTGGCGATTTCAGGGAAGTCCTCATCTCCTAGCAACAAGACAGTAAAAATTGCTGAGCACCCAGAAGCAGCTGCAGATTAACTAATCAGTCAGTGTGTTCAAAACACAAAGCATCTAAACACTGCAGGAAATTCCAAACTAATTAATACCCTTTATAGGCGTGAAGTCTTGTCAAAATATTATTTTAAACTCATTTTACAAATGGCGGCATTTTCGAAAACCTCATTGTCTCGCAGCTGCACCACCCACACTCATCAGGGGCCTCTCTCTTTTTTCCTTTTATCATTTGAGAATTCACGGATTCCATAGCAGTGTAACCTAGACTTTCCCTAAAAGTAAATGTTCTTGTGTTCCTGGTAAGTAGGCAGTTAAAATTTATTTTAGGTTAAATTTATTTTCAGCCTGTCCCACTTACCTTAGATCCTCTAAGTTTTTGAACCCCTACAATCTGGGCTATTCGGAACTTTTTGCTCAGCTGGACATTTCTGTTCAAAAGCTGTCTTCTCAGAAGACGCCTCCTTATTATTTTATTTTAATGGAAGTATAGTTGATTTACAATGTTGTGTTAGTTTCAGTTGTACAGTAAACTGGATATGTATATATTCTTTTTAAGATTCTTTTCCATTATAGGATAAGTTATTGTAAGATACTGCATATATCTTACATATATATCGGCCACACAGTAGGTCCTTACTATTTGTTTTCTATATAGTACTGTGTCTCTGTTAATTCCAAACTCCTAATTTATTCCTCCTCCTCCTTCCCCCTTTGGTAACCATGAATTTCTTTTCTATGTCTGTGAATCTATTTCTGGGTCTTTCTCTTTAATGTAAAAATTTTTATTGGTAATTCCATTTCACTTATTGGATTAAAGTCAGATTTTTACATTTTTTACTTATTGTTTTATTAATTTTTATTGTAGTTGCTCTACAATGTTGTTTTCATTTTATATTGGAGTATAGTTAATTTACAGTGTTGCGTTAGTTCCTGATGTACAGCAAAGGGATTCACTTATACATATTCATGTATTTATTCTTTTGCAGATTCTTTTCCCATATAGGTTATTACAGAATACTGAGTTCTCTGTTCTATACAATAGGACCTTGTTGTTTATCTATCTTACATATAGTAGTTTGTGTCTGCTAGTCCCAAACTCATTTATCCCGCCCCATCCCACCATTCCTCTTTGGTAACCGTAAGTTTGTTTTCTGAGTCTGTTTTTGTATGTCAATACATTCATTTGTATCTTTTTTTAGATTCTACATATAACTGTTATCATAATTGTCTTTTTCTGTCTGACTTACTAGAAGAAGCTTCTTTAATGAGTCATGGAATTAGGACTCACCTATAATTTGAAGAATGTATGATTTTAGTTCTGCAGGAAAATGACCCCCAGAAATGCTGGGCTGTGGTGACGAGTGCATGTGTAATGTATCTGGCTTCAGGATTGTGATTGCCAGTCTGGAAGCTTGAGAACATCATCTGGTTTCAGCGGCAGGCAGTCCACTGGAGCAGTTCCAGATGTTTGCCCACAACAGCTAGACATGAGATGAAGGGGGTCTTGAATGAATACTCTCTGTTCTGTTTCCCTGTGATATCTTCCAAAGAACGGTCTCTTTGAGGAGACTATGTTCTACTAGCAGGACCCTGAGTGTGCTAGACACAACTTGGCTAGGATAACTGGGCAGCAAAAAGGTAGATGTGAAGAGTTGTAAGGTGGAGAGGTTGGAGGGGCACAGTGTCTTAAGAAGAATGGATTTATGCTCTGTTCATCAGTTCAGATTCATTTAAACTTCTAGGCTATCTGATTCTCCAGGCAGATGCACTGTACTTGAATGACCCTTTAAAGATTAGTAGAAATTGGGCACAGGACTCCAGTGACACCTCCAGACAGCAACGTTTTCCTTAATCACAAGTATGATGGTTGTTTTCAAGGGCTCTAGATGCAGCTTCTGTGTTGAAGCTCAGGTTCTGCTTACCACCTATTAAGCAGCAAATTATTCTCAAACCCCAGCATCTCTATTTTTAAAATGGGGGGAAATAAATGTCTACCTGTATTATCTCCAGGAAAAACAGAACCAGTAGGACACAGATGACAGATAGATGGATAGATGACAATATTTAAGAAATTGGCTCTTGTGCTTAAGGGGGTTGGCAACCTGGAAGTTTGTATGGTGGGCCAGCAGGCTGGAAACTCAGGTAGCTGCTGTAGTTTTGAGTTTGAAATCTGTAGGGCAGGCTATTAGGCAGAATTGATGCTACAGCCCTGAGGCAGAATTTCTTCTTAGGGAAACCATTTTTTGCTCTTAAGGCCTTTAACCAATTAGATAACCATATTATCAAAGATAATCTTCCTTAAGTCAATTGATTGCAGATCAAAGGGCAACTACAAAATACCTTCACTACAACACCTAGATTACTGTTTAATTAATTAACTGAGTGCTCCAGCCTAATAGAATTGTTGTAGTAATAAAATAAGCCCAAATCCATGTCAATCATTCATTCAGTGCATTACCAAACACATGGGAAGCCCTTAAAAAAGGTTTTCTATTGTTATTTCAATTTAGTCATTGCTAACCCAATGGATTTCTTTCCATTTTCAAGTTATTTAGCACCTATTGCCACATGCTAACTCTTGTAGAAACAGGTTTTTAATACGATTCTCAGATTGTGGCATTATTTTCCTTCTTTAGCCTTTTTTTCTTTTTCAGCCTTGCTACGATTTGGCACACTGAAGGTGGAAAAGAATTGGGAGAAGGAACTTGAATGGAAAGGAGGGAGGTGGCAGAGCTACTATTCACTCACGCCAAGGGGATTCCCGCGCCCCCCCCCCCCCCCCAGAACTATTTCTTTAGAAGGTACTTGTGTGTGCTCAGTCGTGTCTGACTTTTTGCAACCTTGTGGACTGTAGCCTGCCAGATTCCTAAATCCATGGGATTTTTCAGGCAAGAATACTGGATTGGATTGCCATTTCCTCCTCCTTCTGGACCCAGGGATGGAACCTGAGTATCCTGAGTCTCTTGCATTGCAGGCGGATTCTTTACCACTGAGCCACCAAGGAAGCTCTATTTCTTAATAGAAAGTGAAAGAAGAAAGTGAAGTTGCTCAGTCGTGTCCAACTCTTTGCGACCCCATGGGCTGCAGCCTACCAGGCTCCTCCATCCATGGGATTCTCCAGGCAAGAATACTGGAGTGGCTTGCCATTTCCTTCTCCAGGGGATCTTCCGGACCCAGGGATCGAACCCAGGGATCGAACCCCGGTCTCCCGCATTGGAGGCAGACACTTTAACCTCTGAGCCACCAGGGAAGACCATTTCTTAATAAGTCATAGTCTAAATTCAGGATATGAGAATACTTGAGAATGTAGACTTTAATCATCATTCTTGAGTTGGTATTTCCACATATACAACAGAAAGAACTGATGGAGGGAAATTAGTTTCAACTGTTATTCATTCTAGTAGAATATGAAAAACCCATTAAACAGGACTTAAGTTGCTCTTGGCCATAGTTAATTGTAGGCAACTCTGTAGCTAAAAACATGTAACCATGGTATGTTTTCAGTGGAACTGTAAGTGAATTACATGGTAATTAGAAAAACAAATTTTTTAAATGAAATCAAGTGAAATTTAAGGTGTTGGTTTTTGTTTTTTTTTTAAGCTATTTGGTAACTGGAGTTAAAGGGCTAAAAAACACAATGAAAAGCCAGAGATTCAAACTTATCAACACTAATATTGTAAGGAACTTTTAAGTTTATTTTGAAAAAAATTTAAACCAGCAAAATGATTTATGGCTTTTTTTTTTTTAAAGAAAAGATATGTGACTGTGTATAGTCTTTGAAGGACAAAGGGGAAAAATACTAAAAGAATATCAGTTTTGTGGTTTAAAGAACCCTCAACTAAAAAAGACCACATATTAAAACTTAGTGTAATTGCACAGACTAGGTAGAGATCTCTAGTATCATCTGTTTCTGTTCTATCTGAGCTGTCACACCTTCTGGAAGGGGAAAGGGAGACTTTGCCCTCTGGCAGCCAAGACTGCCCACAGGCTGGATGGACCAGCACTCATCACCTGACCTCAGGGAACTGCTGATGATCTTAGTGTGACTGTCCCACTGTGGCTTCACCCATCCCAGAATAAACTCCACAGACTAAAGTTGACTCTCCTCTCCCTAGTCATCCTATAGGAGATGGAAGTATATTAACCAGAAGCTAATATATTCATTTACAAGAGGGTATAGTTCTTTCCAATGACCAGAATTCAGGGCACATTTTACTAATTTTGGAATTATTGGGAAGCTGGAAGTATAACTGTAAGTTGCTTGGTGAATAAGGGATCTGAAAAAAGAGGAGTGTGGTCATTGTTTTTGTTTACTGTTATTTTGGAAGATATTTGAAACTAGTCTATTTTTATAAACTGAGTATGAAATTTACATTTCATATGGGAAAAAATGAAAAAATTATATTAGTTATTATTGCATATGTTTGTGGCTCAGTTGCTAGTTGTGTCCAACTCTTTGCAGTCCCATGGATTGTAACCTGTCAGGCTCCTTTGTCCATGGAATTTTTCAGGCAAGAATACTGGGGTGGGTTGCCATTTCCTACTCCAGTGGATTTTCCTGACCCAGGGATCGAACTTGCATCTCTTAGGTCTCCTTCATTGGCAGGTGGGTTCTTTACCACTAGCGCAACCTAGAAGCCCCTATTAGTGCATATTACCCCTAAATTTGGCAGATTAAAATAATACACACTGTTTTATCTCATAACTTCTGTGGGTCAGGAGTCTGGACATAGCTTTGATTCCCAAGGCTGTCGTTTGATTCACAAGGCTGCAATCAGTGTTGGCCAGGGCTAGGATCTCATCTGAAGGTTCAATGGATGTAGAATCTTGCTTCTAAGCTCATGTGATTGATCTTGGAATTCAGTTCATTAAGGGCCTGAGATTTGAGGGACATCATTATTTACTTTTCATCATAAACCCTATAGCTTTTGGGAAATAAGCAAGCATGGTCTTTATTCCATTGAAGTGACAAAATCCAGAATTCACTGTGGGCTTTTGGCCTGTTGATTCTACGCACAAGAAGTGGACACAATCTGAACTATTATCCAAGGCTACCTAGTGGAGGCGCAGGTGTCATCATTTCTAGTCTGCTGACTTAACTGGGTTTAGGGCTGCAAAGCGCTTGTCAGACATTATTTTCCTCTCAGTAAAGGGGCACTGAGGCACAGCAGCAGGATTGAACTGGGTTCTACTGGATCTCAGGAAATTTTCTCGGCTCAAATATTTACCCTCCTGCAGAGTCAAAATAGTGCAAAGCCAGAGCTTATTGTCAAACTGCAGCCCAACCCTCAGCCCAGGAACAATGTCACAATTGGTAAATTAGTTCTATCACGTTGACCCTAAGGCTTGCTTTAAGTAAGAATTCAGCTGATTTGCCTCCTAATCATTTCCAGAATTCAGCTGGGTATCTCTCTGCAACCCAGAAGTTTCCGAGTCACAACCATCATCTGTCTGTCTTATAAGCTGAATTTGATATGGACACCAAGCTGCCTACAGACTTCCAGAGTCCTTTTAGCTTCATGTATCCTCCAGTCATGTAGTTTGGGGGCCTCAAATGTGCCTGCTCTGATCAGGGCCATTCCAGTCTACACCAGGCCTTTTTCAGTGGTGTGCTGAAAACCCACTCTCTGGCAGGGGAGGGAAATCCCTGATTTCTGTGGTGTTGATATTCCCATCACTACTGATGAAAAGCTGCCCATCTGATGTCACTCAGCATGCAGCTGGGTTAGATGCACACTATTGGCTTTCCTCTAGGGCCAGCAATACACCAGCTGCAGCACACAGTTGTTTTGCACGTTTTATAAAAGGTACCCTCCAGGTGGAAAAATTAAGAAAGGCTCCTCTCTGGGCAGACTTGCACCACTTGTATGCCCTGGTGAGCAATGGCAGGTACCCTTTCCTGCACACGTGGCTTATTTAAGGGAATGGTTTTAGGCCCATCACTTCTTAAACTGGGTGCCCTTGTGCAGTCCACATTCAGCAGCAGTCCTGGCTTCGATTCATGATACTCTGTAATTTAGTAAAGTGGATGGAATAAGGGAAAAATGAACCAGGTTACCTAGCAGCCTGAAAACCTACTTTATGCACATGATTACTGGCAGGTGGAACATTAATTGTTCTTTAATCAGTTCAGTTCAGTCGCTCTGTTGGGTCCAACTCTTTGCAACCCCACGGACTGCAGCATGCCATGAAGGCTATTATTGCTAAAAAGAACCTCCAGCTATACCATTCCAGGGATAGACATAATGATGTAACTAAAAAGGCTTCAGAAACATAATACCTACAACAGTACATATTTAGATTCTAGTCCATTAAATATGTTTACCTTTAACAAATGACATTTTAACAACAGTCAAACCCAGGTGCACTTAATTTAATGTAGTTCTTTATACTAAAGAAGCAGTTTCTCATAACTCTACTTAGCCTATCAATTACTCTGGAAAGTCATCCTTCCCCTTTTTTACAGATGAGGAAACAGTCTGAGAGATTAAATGATTTAAGGTGACTCAGAAAATGGATTCAAGACCAGTTCTGCCTAAATCTCTTTTTACTATGCTTATACAGACATACCCCAGTACTATGAAACAGACAACCTGAGATAGCTGTGAAGATATTTTATTTTTCATAAAAATATAATTGTACAATGCTCTTCAGAAAAAGGATTCCTTCAATGCCCCCAAATACCATGTGGTTTAGAAGTCAATTTCCTCTCTTTTAAAACTAAAAATTTAATTGATAATATGCAACTGATTTTCTGATATATCACATTTATGTTTTTCATTTTTATTAGCCTTTAACTAAAGGTGAGTCCAGTTTAAACCTATACTTTTTATAATGAGCCAAATCAAGCCTATTACAATTCAAAGATGATAAAATAAAATGCTAAATGGTGATGTTGATAAATACTGTCAATTAGCTGGTAAAGAGTGATACGAATTTGCTGCAGCAAGATAAGATTCTGATTCAGATATATTAGAAAGATTTTAGATAAAATAGAAAAAAATTTTAAGAACGTCAAATATATCCTAAAATTTGACCTAGTCAAACTTATTCCATGTTATATACTCAGTTGCCCTAGTACACAGCAGGTCTGTGCTAAATTAATGACAGAATATGACTGATCTAAATACATAAATATATTTCCCTCCTTACCTTCCTCTGGGAAAAAGGAAAAGTACTATGTTTACTCAGAGGGGCCTGAGCTCACTGACTCCCCCCTCTTTTGTTCTCTTTCCATCTGTCTGTTGTCCTTACAGGTAAGTAAAAGATGCCAGGATTTCAGCGTGCTGCCCCCTAATTGGAATGGGGCAAGAAATTCTCCAGCTGTCTGCATCAGTGACGTTTATTAACGTGCTTCAGGGGGCACAAGCGTGCAGCCCGCACAGTACCCAAAGCAATGGGAGCATTCTTATTTAAGACCAACGAACTTTCTCTTGGTTTGATCTACTCCAAGATACCAAATAGACAGGTTTCAGAATAAATTCAAATAAATTGTAATTGACTTTCACCCAAAATTACAAATCCTCTACCTGAGGACGAAGTCAGTGCTCCTTCTTGTAGAGGGCAGCAGGGGAACAGCTTACAGGAGCCAGTAAATTAAAATCACAGCCAGAGAAGAAACATCTGGAGCACAATGGAGACACCCCATAGAAGGGCCACACTCTTTCGGAATGTTTGCTTTGAAAACAGCTCTTCTGGGGAATTCAAAAGGTCCTGAACAAAGCAACAGAGTTAAGTCTTCGGTTGTTTTGCAAAATAAAAATATACATCTGAGTAGACCAGATGGCAAAAACATAACCCATTACAATCTGAACACTGTATTTAAAACACTTAAATTCTGAAGGACTGAATATTAACAATCTATCTGTATTTATGATCCAAAAAAGACATTAAATACTCTTAAACCCCTAGTCCTCCAGAACAGAAAGACCCAATAGACTGGGCTAGTGGTTTATCAGTTGTCACAAAGGACTGGACTTGTGATCTGAGTCTGTGACCTACGCACAAGAGTTTTAGGAACTCAGGGAGGCACTTAATTCAAACGCATGGCCTCAGAGAAGGGACGGAAGTACCTTGTCACCTGAAACTATGTGGTCCGTCTCATGTTCCACCTCACAGACAAGCTAGACTAGAATGCCTCCTCCTAAACTATTTTGTGACAAAACACATTTTATTTGGAAACCAAATGTTTGCCTTATCAGAGCAAAGAACAATTACAATTTAGCAGCAACAGAGACCACAACCTCCTTATTTAACTATGCGAAAGAAAAGAGAGAGTCTTAAAGTGTCTCAGTGGGGACGTCAAAAATTCCCAGGTCTGAGTGTATCATATGAGTGTGATTCCTCAACCATCACTCCATTTGGTAGCCAGGAAGAAAGCAAAGGCAGCCGTGACGGGAATCCGAGAAAACGCCTCTGCCCTCGCCCCGCCCACCAGGCCCCCTGGCGGCGGTGCTGGGTACGACTCTGTCTCCCGCGCTTCACGCCGGAGCGGAGGCGGGGCCAGGGCTGAACCGGATGCACACCCGCAGTGTATTTCTCTCTGGCTCAGAATACATTCATAAGGAAACTCAAGTCAGGGAAGAAACTTAAGTGTTCTGGTTATGGCTAAAGCCATTTGACCCACAAGCAATGTGTCCCTCGTTTGGTTCCGGATCTCCTGAGGCAGAAACTCCCATCTCAGCAGCTAATTTCATCCCGTTGTCTTTAGAAAAATTCTCCAAATTAGTTGACAACACAACAAAATGTGTGTGAACATTCACTCCTGCCCTCCCCCATATACATATAGAAACACATACAATAGAAACACATGCATACATACATACTCTGGGTTGTCAAGATGATATATGCTGCTGAAATGCCTAACAGATTACTTCTTGTTTAAAAATAAAAAGTTTGACTGATTATTCTCCAAGTATGGATCAGGCCCTAATAAACTTGTATAAATACAGTTTGAAAAGACAGCAATTAAAGTTTTAAATAGAGGTTATCTTAAGGGCTTTCTTGATGGATTTTGTTAATGTGTATATTATTTAAAACAGGCATATCATTATGGATTACAAAAATAGAAGTGTATGTATTTGTTACTATATATTCACAGCTTATGCTGGAATGGCTCACAGGAGAAGTCATGGTTCATGCATAAAATAAACATGACTCAAGTAAATATAAAGAAATCAGATTAGGTCCATAAAGGCTGAGGACTTAGTAGTCAGTCATCAGCCCATTTGGTTTCTCTTTGTAGGGCGATCAAAAACATGAAAGGAAATGACACCCAAACACACATACACATACAATTACATGAAGTACATGGAAAGAATATAAATTAACCAGTAAAGCAATGTGGAGTTGAGGTGCAAAAATACAATCTTCACTCACTCTTTTCCTGTGCTTTCAAGCATCGCAACATGGCAATACCAACCAGAACGAGTCTGAACGTCAGTAAATTTTCTAAGTGTTGAAAATCAAAGCAAAATTCTTTGAGATCTATGATCACACATTTTGGTAGAAACTGCAGATTTACAGAGATGACTGAGCAGTAGGTAGTAAATGGAGCCAAGAAGTACAATCTGGCCTATCCATGCTCCACAGGGTCAGAATATTGGCTTCAGTCACTGACTCATCATTTTATATGATCTTCACCCTGAAAAATAAAGTTACTAATGTAAGAATGTTTTTAAAGATAAAGAGGTTTGGTTACTCTGTTTTAAAATGAATTTTTAAAAATTTAGTATCTACAGGAAGACTATTTTTAAATATAAACTGAAAGAAAACTGAACTGGCTTTTTTTCCCACTAATTCAGTTTAGATTAAGGCAAATATTACTTCATATAATAAAAGTGATCAAAAAGCCAATCCTTCAATATCATAAAAAATTCTAAAAACAATTTTATTTATTTTTGTCTATGCCGGGTCTTTGTTGCTGGGCGGGCTTTTCTCTAGTGGTGAGCAGGGGCTATTCTTTGTTGCAGTGCACAAGAGTCTCATTATAGTGGCTTCTCTTGGGCAGCGTGGGCTCTAGGGAGGTCGGGCTTCAGCAACTGCAGCTCCTGGGCTCTGGCGCACAGGCTCAACAGTTACGGCCCAGAGGCTAAGTTACTCCACAGTATGTGGGATCTTCTCAGATCAGGGGTTGAACTCGTGCCTCAGACTCTTTACCAGTGAGCCACCAGAGAGGCTCGCATAACAGTTTTTTTAAAGGATAAAAAATTTATAACATTTCCTTATAAAAAACAATCACAATGATGAAGAAATCAACACATGACACCTTCATTCTGAAATATAGCCTCATCAACAAATGGTGCTGAGACAACTGTATCTTCACATGCAAAAGAATTAAGCTGGACTTCTATCTTATACCACATAGAAATATTAACTCAATAGATCAATGATATATAACACCTAAAAGCATAAAGCTCTTAGAAGAAAACATTGGGGCAAATTTTCATGACCTTGGATTTGGCGATGAATTGTTAGATAGGGTACCCAAAGCATGAACAACAAAGTTAAAAATAGATAATATGGACTTCCTCAAAATTAAAGTCTTTTGTGCACCAAAGGACACTATCAAGAAAGTGAAAAGACAACCTATAGTATAGAAGAAATATCTGTAATCATATATCTGATAAAGGTCTAGAATCCAGAATATATAAAGAACTCTTACAACTCAACAACAAAATGAAAAACAACTCAATTATAACACGCGCAAGGGACATAAACAGACACTTTTTTCAAAGACATACAAATGGCTGGCAAGCACATGAAACGTTGCTCATCATCATTAAGGAAAAATGGAAATGAAAACCATAATCAGATGCCACTTCACTAGGAAGGCTACATTTTTAACAAATGGAAAATAAAAAGTGTTGGCAAGATGTAGAGAAATGGGAAACTTTATATACTGTGGTTGTAATGTAAAACATTTCAACTGCTGTGGGAAATAATTTGTAGTTCTTCTAAAAAATATAGGATTACCATATGACCTGGCAATTCCACTTCTGGTATATACCCAAAACAATTGAAAACAGGCACTGAAATGTATACTTATACATGCATGTTTATAGTTAACACTGTTTGCAACAGCCAAATGAGATACTGATACATGCTACAAAGTGGATGAACCCTGAAAACATGCTAGGTCAAAGAAGCCAGACACAAAAAAGTCACACACTGTATGAGTCTATTTATACAGAATATCCAAGAACAGGTAAATCCGCAGAGACAGAATGCAGATTCATAGTTACCAGGAGCTGGAGGGAGGGTGATAGCGATTAACCACTAATGAGTTCGGAGTTTTCTTCTGGGGTGATACACTGTTTTCTAAATAGAGGTGGTTGCTGTACAACACTGTGAAAATCCCAAATGCCTCTCAATTGTTACTTCTGAATGATTAATTTTATGTTGTGTGAATTTCTCCTTAACTAAAAAAAACCCTTATGGTGATGGGCTACTGAAATAGAGCCTGAGCTAGGTGAGGACAGGTTCTCCCACTATAGCTGTGTGACCCTGGGCACTTTACCAAGCTCCTGTACTATTTATCTATAAAATAAAAAGTACAATTATACTTAACACAGTGATTGGAGGAAATAATTAAGATAAATGTAAGTGAAACCACTTTGTAAATCAAAATCAAAATCAAAGGTATTGTTATTATTAACAATAACTAGGGATTCCCTGGTGGTCCAGTGGTTTGAACTTGGCACTTTCACTTCTGTGGGCCTGGGTTCAATCTCTGGTTGGGGAACTATGATCTCAAAAGCTGTGCAGTGAGGCCAATAATAATAATGACAACTACTAGAATGGTACACTCTCATTTATCTACAAACTCTACTTTTTAAAACTGCCATGAATTTATCAGGTGCTCTTTATAGACCCCATGTATATAACACATTCCAATATTTAGAATATAATGCCATTTCACTTGGTTACCAGTGTATTACAAATGACATAGCCATTTTATTTTATTTGAAAACACACAGCAAGGGAAGAGGTCAACAGAAAGCCTGCTCTGAGTTACTCCTCTGAAGATAAACTTTCCCGCGTACCGTACTCACAGGAGTTGCTGTTAGCCTCTGTCTTCCCAGCTTTCATGTGCCTGCTTGAGTTCTGCTGAGATTTGCTCTGCTCTTCTCCAGTGAGTAGGGCCTTTATTTCAGAAGGGATTTTACCTTGGTCCATTGCCATGCACCACTGCTTGTACTGAAATATGTAAAATATAATTGAGTAAAATTCTACTAGTCAGGTAGAAAATCCTAGACAGAACAACTCTCATAAATAGAGGTCAAACTGGCTACTGGGAACCCCACCCTCTACTGTATTCCTATTCATGACCTAGGACATGGATGAAGCCTGCTATCTTCAGAAAGGAGGGTGAAAAACTACCACTGAATCTCCTTGTGATGTGCTGGAGTACTGCTCAGATGTAAAAGGCCTCTCTGGCTAAAATAATACCTCCCTGTGGAGTGCCATGCATCAAAATTCATCTCTTTGTGCTGACTGTCACATTATTATTTCCACTTCTAAAGTAAGTAATTTTGTAATTTCCTTTCTCTAGTTCATAAATATTCACTAAATATCTACTTTCTACCAAAGTGTATACTATAGACTTTGGGGCTATAAAAGATTAATCAATCCAAAGATTATGTCCTCCAGTGGCTTACACTACAGGAGGTAAAAAATAATTTGTAAGTCAAATACAGCGTATTAAAAAAAAAGTCTCCTAAATAGTGTGCATCTGGACTCTCTGCATGCCCCAACTTGACCTTCTAAAGAGCTGGGGCAGCCTGTCCCCATGTTAACGATCATGTTAGTATTATCTCTCTCTTTTCCAACCTATCACCTCCTCCCCTGAGATTACAGTACTATCAAGGTTTCTATTCTCTTTTATATGTCTACAATCACTATTTGAAATCTGAATGAATGAATAAAAGCAGGCCTAATTGTATCATACAATGCATATTGTTACATATTGTTATACTGCTTTTTCCACTTAGCAATATATTGTGTCTTTCCATATCAGTACATACATACGTGCACTGTGATTTTCATGGGCTGCAAAGTAGTCCAATATATGAATGTAGTATAATTTATTTAACCAATCCCTGACTGTTGAGCATTTGGGTTATCTTCCTTTTTGTCTCCTATCATAAATAATCCCTTAATGAAATAGTCACTTTCCACTCCCTCCAGGAACATATGAAAAATGAGTATTTCCCTATGTTCTTGCTAATAGATAAATATCCTCTCTCATGCTCATCAACTGGATAGCTGAAAACTCGTATCTTCAGGTTTTAATACAGTTTAGGTTGATTGTTTCATACATTTACTGACAGACTTTCTTACCATTTCCAGTTCCTCTCTAAGGGCACAAATGGCTCTTTCCCGGCTGGATACCAATTCTTCCAAATACTGATACCGCAGTTTTTTTCTGGCCCGGCATTCTCTTGCACTCTGCCGGCTCCTCTCGAGTTTTGCCTTCAAGTCAATTTTGGCTGGCTTTCGACCACGTTTGCCGGGCTTCTTCACTTTACCTCCAACCACCTTAAGCAAGAGAAAGAAGTAGTCATTTTTTTTCTTAGTTCTGAGTCTAGGAAAGAGACTGCGGCTGCATATTAGCAAGGAAAACATTTACAAATAAATAAATAGAGCCCACGGAACTAAGAAAGCACAGTCCCATCAAATGCCTTATGATTCTTTGCTTCATATTTTTTTCTGATACTTTTCACACCGAGAATGTGGAAGAAACAGTTTAAGTGTTCATTATTTCTTCTAACCTTTTTTTCATAATAAACTTTACATAGCTTTATAGTAAGCTGTGGGCTTCCCTGGCGGCACAGACAGTAGAGAATCCGCCAGCAATGTGGGAGATGTAGGTTTGATCTCTGGGTTGGGAAGATCCCCTGGAGGAGGGCATGGCAATCCCCTTCAGTATTCTTGCCTGGAGAATTCCCATGGACAAAGGAGCCTGGCAGGCTATAGTCCATGGGGCTGCACGGAGTCGGACACGACTGAGCGACTAAGCACAGACTCACAGTAAACTTCCTGAACCACAAGCAGCTGGATAACAGAAAACTGCCATTAAATGTTTTGTTCACAAATGATTTTTATTAAGAAAGTCATAAGTAAACAAAAATCAGTATTGAAAATTGTAAGCTCAGTATGATCTCAATCTTAACAAAACAACACATAGAAGAAAGGATCTTAACCAAAGGTCAGTGAGGACTTCTCTGATAAATGTGAGCAGAAAAAGCTTCTTTCTCATCTGTATTTTTAATTATTTTCAGTATTTATAATTAGAAAAATATAAAATTTGTATTTAAAATTGTGTGTATATATAAATAAATATGCATCCTAAGCAATTTGGCTCTCAATTCCCTCTTCAAATTTGTTGAGCCCAAAGGAACACACAGGAAGACCCTGACATTTTCAGGATAATTCTCTCCTGCCATTAGAAGTCTATAATTATAACCCTGGATGTCTCAGGAGATTCTGCCTGCTCCCACTGGTGTCACAGACATCCTCTCAATACCCCTGCTATTCAGTTACCTGCACAGGCATGGTTCTTTGGTGACTGGCAAAGTAATCTAATCTTCTTCATTGTTTAGTTTTGGACTTTTCCCAAGTTCTTACACAAGATGTAACTATCAGATAAAGGTAATGAATTTTAAAGTACATGAACCTGAACTTATACATCAAATGAATTTCCTTTAAAGGAGTCACTTTCAATGAATAAGCTTTCTCAGGAGCTGCTTTTGGAGCCAGTTTCTTACAGGCCACAACACAATACACCATATTACTTTCAACTGATACATTATTCGTTAAATTCCCAAGCAATCTGATTGTCCACTTTGTTTATCCATTGAGGTTCCAAATGATGTCTAATTCTTTCTGAAGATTACCCTCAGAGAATAAAAATGTCACAACTTCAGTATACTGAAAGGAATATTACTGAGGCTTTAAAGGCAATTTTATAAGAGAAGATGAAAAACTCAAACACTGGCAAATCACTGGACTAAACGTAGAAGTCTTAACCAGGTAACAAAACTTAAAGGATCAATCTTCATTTGGATATAAAAACTCTGATGTGTCTGTATGCTTGAAATCACCGTTAATACCATACACCAACAATGCCCAGTACCCTGTAAAGATAGATCATTACTTGGTATCATGGTTAGGTCAGGAAAACCAAACTTCATATGTGAATCAACTACATTTACCAAATCCAGTGTCATAATATGACAGCTAACTACTGTATCTAGCATTTTATAGAGTGACTCTGAAATGAGACTAAATACTCTGAGGCTCTTGGAAAAAAAATCCCTCTACCACCATCTTAAAAGCTAACTGCTTCAGTATTACTCCCAAATTAGTTTGAACTTTTCAAAAACCGGTCTTTTAAAGCTTTCCTATTCTTTATCATCACATTTTTTTTTTAATTTCAGTATAATAATATACAAGCCTGGGAACTTTTCTTCAGAGTCAAGTATGCAATTAGCAATTGCAGGGTAACCAGCTGATCCAAGTATTACTATGGGCTAAATTTTAAATTATGCTTATCAACTGTATAATTTTAATAAAGTACTTCAAAATATCCCTTCATTAAAACAAACTATATTTGCTATTGATAGTTTTTAAAAAGCAATATATTTACAGCCTAAACCCATGTCCTTAGTGAAATAAATGGTAATCACATCTTTTCTTTATATAGTAAAATGAGTCATCAATCACACACCATTACAAACCAGTACCTTCATATATTGCTTTTTTCTTTTAATTTTTTTTTATATTGCTGTTTTTAATTAATTAATTAATTCAGGAATGGAATTCAGGAATGGCACCTTTGGGAAGTCAGAAGGACATAGTGTACTGCACAAAATTCACTGATTTTTTTTTTACATAAACTTAGTGTAGTCATAAAAATCAAACAAAAGGTATAACCCTTTGTTTAGTTTTCACGGAAGTAAAATATTTAAATTGCAACTATTTCCTTTTTTTAATTAGAAAGGCACAGTAAATAAACCCAGGGTTCCTGCACTTTATGTCATCTGTAAAATTACATTTAAGACCATATAACCACCACTTCTCTAGCTTAATTTTTCCTCAGTAATAAACTGAAATTCTGGCTTTTGGTGCTAGCTAAAATCTGATTAGTGTACCAGTTTTCAAGAGAGTCAAGCACATCACAGGATTATAGTAAATCTTAAGTAAAATAATGTATGAAAGCACTTTGTTTAAAAAAGGAGGGGATTATTATCATACAAATGCAGGTTAGTATAACAGTTGCCTTAAAAACTGAACTTTACATATTTCATAAGCCGTAAACCTTGAGGGATGGATAAGGGAAGTTAATTAGAAATGAGGAACCAGGAACTAAAACTGAAATCAACCCCACAAATTCCTTAAATGTGTCTGAAACAAAAGTTAGTCTTATCAATGTTTCTTAAAATTTTCGTAAACTCAAAGGCAACCACATACTCTCTCGTTCTCTGAGGAAGCACATTAATGTGGCTAAATAAAAGTACTAATTTTTGTGCACAACACCAACTCCAAAGAAAATTATTAAAATAACTCCCCAATTTAACTTTTTTTTCTGTTCTAATTTTACTTCTACTAACATAGGGCCACATAAAAGTTTAAACAGCTGTTTTTAAAACAGTGTACTTCTTTATCCACCATCCATTTTACCTCCTTTTCCTCCCCAAGACACATTTGTTAGCTCAGGACAGAAGGTCTTAGGGGAAACACTCACAAGTCCTGTGTCCCTAACACCCAGCATTAAGAAAAGCAACCTGCTGGCCAATGACATTTCTTGCCCTGCACAGCAAATTTACTTCACAAAGGAGGATATTAGGGATGTTAGATTTTAGTTTCGTGTTGCATGTGCTCAGTCACATCTGACTCTTTGCAACCTCACAGACTGCAGCCCGCCAGGCTCCTCTGTCCATGGAATTTTCCAGGCAAGAATACTGGAGTGGGTTGCCATTCCCTTCTCCAGGGGATCTTCCTGGCTCAGAGACTGAACCCACATCTCTTGTGTTGCCTGCACTGGCAGGCAGATTCTTTACCACTGCGCATTCTTTACCACCTAGGGTTTCACAATGAGTTCACAATAAATGTTTAATAAATATGACAGATAAAACACAAAAGACAGACTTCCCTGGCAGTCCAGTGGTTAAGACTTCACACTTACAATGCAGGGCGTGTGGGTCTGATCCCCGGTCAGGGAACTAACATCCTACATGCCACGCAGCCAAAAAATATATTAAAAAATAAATAAAAATTTTAAAAAACCACAGAAGTCATTCCTAAGTAACCAATGAGTCATAGAAGAGATCACAAGGGAAATCAGAAAAATACTTTGAGATGAATGAAAAGGAAAATACAACATACCAAAACTTATAAGATACAGCTAAAGCAGTGCTCAGAAGTAGCTACAAACACCTAAATTAAGAAAGATTTTAAAGTCAACAACCTAACTTTTTACCATAAGAAACAAGAAAAAAGAAGAGCAAATTAAACTCAAAACAAGTTGATGGAAAGAAATAATAAATATCAGAGTAGAGATAAATAAAACAGAGAATGAAAAAACAATAGAAAAAAACAATCAATAAAACCAAAACTTGGTGCTTCAAAAAGAACAAAATTGACAAACCTTTAGCCAGACTGATCGAACAAGAGAGAACGTTCAAAACCCTAAACTCAAGACTGAAAGAAAAGACATCACTATTACCTTTACCAAAGTAAAAATGATTACAAGAGAAGACTATGAAAAATTGTATGCCAAAAAATCAGATAACCTAGTAGAAATGGACAAATTTCTAGAAAGATACAAAGTAGCAAGAGTGACTCAAAAGGAATAAAAAATCTAAAAAGACATGACAAATAAAGAGACTGAAAGAGTAATCAAAAAACTTCCCATAATGACAAGTCCAGGTCCACGTGACTTCACTGGTAAATTACCAAGCATTTAAAGAATTAACACTAATTCTTTACAAACCCTTCCAAAAAAAGAAGAGGAAAGAACATAGCCAAGTTCATCCAATGAGCCAAAATTAGCCTGATACAAAAAACCAAGATATTATAAGAAAACTATAGACCAACATGTCTTAAGAATATAGATGGAAAAATCTTCAATAAAATACCAGCAAACCAAATCTAACAGCATACAAAGAGGATTATACACCGTAACTGGGTGATTTATCCCAGGAATAAGGTTGGTTTAACAACTGAAAATCAATTAGTGTAATTCACCATATCAATAGGAGAAAAGACAAAAATTACATGTTCATCTCAATAGACTCAGTAAAAGCACTTGACAAATCCAACATCCTTATATGATTAAAAAAAACAAACCTTCAAAACACTAGGAATAGAAGGGAACTTCAACCTGGTAAAGGGCATCTATGAAACAAACACCCACAGCCAACATCATGTAAAGGTGAAAGACTGAATTCTTTCTCCAAAGATCAGAAACAAAACAAGGATTCTGTCCTCTCCAGTCACGTCTATTCAACATCGTGTTGGAGGTTCTAGCCATAGCA